GTCAGGTTGCTGAAAGTTTGAGATTTTGTGTGGTGTTCACTTGTGTTGTCTGTATGTTGCAGAAGCTCTTTCCTCTGAAAGCAGGCTTACCTCCACAGCTGTCATAAAGACTACTCAGAACTGCAAAAGTCAAACATGTACGCTTCAAACTTTGTAGACTTGTTGTTTTTCTATACCTCTTGTTTTTAATTTCTGCTGAGTGTTTGTCATGATGAGTATTGGAATATGTTCCCTCTAAATAAGTCATTTTGTTTAGCTTTTTTCTTGTAAAATCTATTCACATTGCAATATAATGAAAATTGAAATAGTTTGATTACCATCTTTTCAGAAGATATCCCTGAATGAATGAGGAAGTAGTAATTTTAGCACTAGTGTATTAAAAAAAAAAAAGTAAGGACAGTGAAGTTAGCTTAGTTTTCCTTGTTTGTTTCTCACAGGTGTGAATTCAAACACACAAGTATGAAAAGAAGTTGGGAGTTTGCAAGTGTGACTGCTTGACCCTTGTTGGATCATGTTAACGTTTCCTTTGAGTTTCAATTCAACATTCTTTAGAAAAGGCTGGTTTTGCTCAAGTATACCCCTGTTAGATGTTAATGCTGTTTTTCACCGGGCACCTATAATAAATGAGAATGTTCATCTATTTCATACGCACGCTTATGTAATTAGGCATGTACTGATTTCTTTCTCTCTGGAAAATACTTCTGCAAATCAGCACTCCAATATGAAGAGTTAAGGAGATATCATCTGTTGTTTAAGATAAAGATAGACATTATTATTTTATATTAGATGCTTAATCCTTTGTTCTGAGAAGTGTTGATGTTTTCATTAGACTTAAAATGTGTTGAATGTTTATTGAAAGCCTGAAATCTCAATATGCGAACCTATCAATTCTAATTATTTGACTCATTAGAACATGAGGGTGGGTTGTTTTTTTTTTGCCTAAGGGTACATGAATGTACTACTGAATCTGGTTTTTAAGTTTTTTTCCACTTTAATGTCTGAATCCAAATTCATAAAGAGTTGGAAAAATGAGATGTCTGAGCTATAGGATTCACAGGGATTTTATATGAAGCCTATTTAATCAGGATAACACTGCTATTAATATTCATAAAGTCAGCTGGAACACAAATGACAGACTATGGAGCCTAAAATTTTTTACTTGTGAATTTATTAAAAGCAGCTTAAAAAATTAATGGAATTTAAGTAAAGTTGACGAAAATGAAAATCTTATGTTAGCAGAAAAAATCTTTATTAGAACTTTCTCTAAGACCATCTTGCATTGATATCTTTGACAGATTTCATTGGCACTTAAAGAAGAAAGATGCATGAATGGTCATTTAAAAGGATTTAAACACATTGGCACATTAATTTTTACATGAATAATAAGTAGTTTCCAAAAGCAATTAACTTACAGTGTACAAGATTTGAATAGAAAAATAGGACTGTGACACAAAAGGGCAAAGCAAATGTGCTGTACATTTTAAACTTTTAATAATATGACTTCTTAAACTGATTTATTTCATTTCCACCGTAGGTATAGTAGCAGTGATGATATTTGTGTTCAGCTTTGGTTTCTTTTGAAATACACAGAGATGTGAAACAAAGACATATTTTGATGCTGAAGTGCTACTGGTACAGAATTTCAGGTCTTAACACTGATCATACCTTTTTGAAGAAAGCTCTTTTTACTTTTTTTTCATTTGTGTTTGTGGAAAATGGATACTGACCACAGCGTATGATTTTTCTCACATGCTGCTGTGTGCTGCGCTGGAAAAGCGTTCGTTATTTCTATAGGGGACCAAATAGGCAGATCTATGATTTCTTCTATTTAGTGGGAAGACGTTGGTTAATTTATATTCATGTATGTAAATAGTTTTGTACTTAATTATTTAGAGTGAATTTCACTTGATCAGTGCCTGTTATATTCAACAGATAAGTACCTTCAGGTTTCTTGATGAAGGAGTAGTCTTAACTAACACAGATTGAAGTGAAGGAAGTTAGTAGTTAATTTTAACTCTATATTTGGGGTTACAGTTTCATTTTGTATTTTCCATTTTGTTTGGGTCCAGCGATATACTTTAATCTTCACCTTTAATTTCTTTTTATTATTATATAGATCATTAACATTGTATTCAAATGAAAGTGAAGAAAAGCCTGAAAATAAGTGCATTTTATTTATTTTATTTAATGATGACGATTTTTGCTGAGAAAACCTTCACAGTTGTAGCCAGCTGCTGATTGTTGTTGGCTTGAAGTTTAACACTGAATAATAAGAGGCTCTGCTGAGGGAGACCTGGGAGCAGCCTTTCAGCATCTAACAGGGCACTCACTATGGGATAGAAGGGGACAGACTCTTTAGTGGGGTCTGTTGAGATAGGACAGGGGGAAGTGGTTTCAAACTAAATGAGGGGAGATTTAGACTGGACATAAGGTAAAAAGTTTTTTTATGATAGGGGTTGTGAGGCACTGGAACAGGTTGCCCAGAGGTGGGAGCCCCGTCCCTGGAGACGTTCAAGCTCAGGCTGGAAGAGGCTCTGGGCATCCTCATTGAGCTGTTTGTGTCCCTGTTCATTGCAGGGGTTTGGACTAGATGGCCTTTAAGCATCCCTTCCAACTCAAACAATTCTAGGATTCAATAATGTTTTGTAAGTTTGGGTTCTAAAGATACTTGACCTTTGAAATATGCTCTGCAAAGCTTTATCTTGAATGATACATGAGTGTTGTGTATAAGTTAGATACGTGTTGGAGTGTCTGTATATGTGTTCAGAACAACCAGTTTACTTTGTGTACGGAACATTTGTTCTTATTTACCATCAATTTCTTTCTAACAGTGGGGAAATTGTACTGAGAATCTTAGGGAGTGGCAAAAGATCTTTGTTTCTCTTTAACCAAAAGTTTACATTAGTATGGTATCAAAATATTTTTATTTTCCCTGACCTAAAAACAATTCATTCGTACTAGTTAGCAGAACATATTTCTGCTACTGAAGAGAGAGTACCTTAAAGTCTCCTGACTTCTTTCTCCAATATGCGTTTCATATGCTCCATAATTTCCAGGAGAGGGCAGCATTTTTCTACATCAGGTCCTTGAAAGAACATGCCCTGATCAGACTGTCAATGTTTCTTGTAATTACTCCCAGTATATTTGTTGCTTGCTTATGAATTAACTTGCATTTATGGAACTAAATCATTCCAATCATTTAATTACACCTGAGGAGCTGAACTATAATTGCTTGCTTCCAACTAGGATCTGATATGGCTTGAGCAGTATTAATTTGGTGTTTACTTTTCTGAGTGCTAAAAGCATTAAAATGATTGTGCAATGGGATTACATTTTACTAATTGCTGGCATTCATTAGCTGGGTAAATGGCGAGGAAGAATGACTGTATATTGTGGAGGGATAAAATTATGGTTTTAAATAGTATATTACTAGGCACATTAAGGCCCTAAGACATGTTTTAAAATACTCCAGAGGTTATTAAATACCGTATTTTCTTCATGTCTTGCTATATGACTGTCTTATTAAACTACTGCAATTATTATGAACCTTTTTGTGCAATATGTCAGGAAATGGCTTCATTGACAGAAACCTACTGCTTGATATTAATAACCTTCTAAATTTTAAGCTAATCCAAAAGTAAATGAGGAACTTAGGAAAAGATTGACAACTCCAAATCAACACAGTTATACAGAATTGAAAAAGAAGTGTACAGCTTCATTTGAGGAACTTCTGTAAGGAGCTCAGAGTTCTGCAATTTAGAGTGAAGTTATTTTTTTGTTAGGACTTAACCACATCAAATCAACACTTTCTTATTTGTTATTAATTATAAATAGTCGCAATATGGGCTAGATATATATTTCTGGAAAAAGTGTGAGTCTTGAATCATGAGTGTTTGCAGAAGTGTTATACTTTTTTAAATTATCTGAAAGATAAAATGAAAACATCTATTTATCTTTTGTGTATAATCTAAAAAAAAAAAAAACAATTTCTTCTCCTGCTGTATTTGTAAAAATGTATGTCCTGGTGAAACTTGCTTGAATTTTCAAATATTTTGTTAATTTTATTGTTGCTGTTTTAATTATTATACTTATCAGCACAATGGCAACTCTGGGTATTTTCATGATTGAGTCACTGCTTCTTCAAGTAATGTGTTCTATCTTGTAATAAATTTAAGAAAAAAAATCATGAGAATGCATACAAAATAAGCATAATGATGCAGTAGAAGATGAAAAATTATTCTTTGTATAACACATTCTGAAGGAGATGCTTGAGCAAATAATAAAATTGTTACTATATTAATAAGATTACTAATTTACTAATTTATTTATATTACATATTTCATGAAAATATAATTTGATTTTTATCCTATAAGAGAAAATATATTTTAACATTAAAACTATTACGTAGTAAGTCTAACTTTATATTGAAGGGCTTATTTTTGAGTGATAAGGATTGCTTTTTGCAATGATATTATTAACTGTATAGTCTGAAGCAATATGTAACCCATAGTAAGATGGGTTAAATTATTTAGCTGTTTTAAAAAGTCTGCAAATTCAGAGGTGCAGTGGTCAAGGACTACTTCACCTCTGTTTTATCCAGGAAATTCAAACAGGTGAAAGAATTGAAGCACATTCTGCCATCTGTAGTAAATGCCAAAATCTCATTGCCTCAAGTCTGGTTTGTGCTGTTGCTCAGTAGCATGTCCTTCCAAGACCAGACTCTAGAACAAGAAGACAAACATAAATTTTGCCATGAAGGCATTGCATACAGTAGAAAGCTGAAGCAAATTAGTAGAAAAAATAGATATGTGAAGAGAAAAAAATATATATTTTACTGAGAAAAATAAATTCTCACTTTTAGAGTATGTGGACTTTGTTGTGCTATTATAAATATCCTAAAATCATTTGTCTTGTAAATTTTATGTCAAATGAAAGCAAAGTATAGGTGTGTTATAACGTATTGTTTCAAGTTTATTTATCTAGAGTTTGCTTTATTTTAGCTCTGAAATGTTGGAGGAAAAACTGGAGCTAGTGCCAGATCAAACAACTTGAGAAGAACAAATGGAGAACTTGTCAAAAGGTAAGGACTTCTAAGATATTAATAAGGAACCTCAGGTGTTTTACCAGTGCTAGGCAGTGACTGGAATGTATTTGTTCTTGCCGATACATAGCTGGCTTTGGAAGTAAAGGAAAAAAAGGAAAGAAAAAATACACCGCCTCTTGAAAGTGCTTGAGTTAACTACAAATATGATTCTTCCCAGACTTCTGTATATGTACATGCAAAGTAACAAATGTTGTTTATCAGCTTAACTTTATGAGTTATTGAAACTACTTCATTAAAATTGTGAGAAGTATAATTTTAGTTCTTAGCCTGTATATTGCACTTACTGAAAATGTGGGGAAGTAAACAACAAACATGAAGGCTATCTTTAACTTTCTTGTCTATTCACACCTGGCTGGAGTACAGTTAAGACATCCACTAATATTTAGTAGTCTGTTTCTACTACCTCAACCACATATAGGCAGTAATGGGGTTGAGAGGGCTTTGGTTTGCTTGGAAGGGAGGATCTTCACCACTTCTGTGGTTACTAAAGTTTTAAACTTCATCAGGATGGAAGGATATTTTTGTATTTGGATGATCACAGTGTTGCTCTCAGATATTTTTTCTATGCTTTGTGAAAGAAAGTTTTTAAAAAGCTGAGTTTGAGAGCATGCTATGTGACTGACTTTACAGAAGTGTCAGAAAGTGACCTGTATCTAGATAACAATACAAAGATTGAAGAAAGCAAACACACAGGAAGGAGACATGCAGTATGTCGTAGAAGGGTGGATTTTTTCCAGGAAGTGGCTTTATGTAGATTGAAAAAATATGGAACCAGGTGTGTTGACATCAAAGATGCCTGTATGGGAGACAGTATTTTGTGTATTTCTTTTTTGGAATTTTATTGTATGTTTTCTTTCAGAAGCCGTAATAAATGATGAGTTTTTCCATGAGGAGAGTCTGATGCTTGGAAGAGAGTAGAAACACTTCTTGGAGATTATGCATTTCTTAGTATTTACAGGAATTCCTATCTATATTGTTTATGACAAACTTCTTGTAGACCAAGTTAAGACCAATTTAATCATGGTATTTTGGGCTATTACTGAGATAACTTAAAAATGTTTTAGAATCAAATGCACTGAAAACAGAAATAGTAATGTTCTATCAACTTATGGAGAACTGTATTCTGAGAATTTATGCTTTCAGTGTGTTATGGCTTAATCAGATTTAGTATTTTTAGACCTTTAGGGGTCAGCATACCCTAAGAATGGTTCAAAAGGTTAACTTTCCAAAGTAGGCTGCATGTGAATACTATAAACTGATTCTCCGTGAAATATTTTCTATCCATTTGTGAGAAAAGCTGTTCTGCAGCTCTTAGGTACTTTACAATTGGGATATTTGCTGAGTGTCACAGGCATTATTTTTCTGATGCCTTAAATTAATATTTTGTGCTGTTAAGAAAGCTATTTCTTCTAAGCTACCACTTACGTATTTGTGAATCTAATAGAATTTTTCATATGGTCATAGAAAAACTGGAAAAAAAATGAATACCCTATTATCTCTCTTTTTTTTTGTATCATTAATCACATGTCTTTGTTTGTACTCTTAGGGAAGTTTAAAAAAACAAGAGCAACTTTAAGTTTTCTGTTTAAATGTCTGAAGTTGAATTGTGTACCGTTCTGTGTTCTACTTTCCTTATCTGCGACATCTTTCCTTTTTGCAGTGGGTACTGTACTGGCTGTTCCTGCCTCATAACTTGGAAGTTCAAAAGCTGTTTTTAGAAAAAAAAACTAATAATATTCATTTTTAATAACATACTGAATAAATTGAGATTGAATTTAGCTGGCTTGATGAAAATGCAGTTAAGCAACGAGAGTTATCTTTTTTTAAATGCTAGGTACTGAGAAGTGGTAGGTTTGTGGTGGCTATGTGGGTTAATACATAGCCTGTTAATAGGTGTTATAAAATATTTGAAAAAAAAAGTCTGTTTAATATATCTAAAGTGTTTGAAAGTTGATAATTTGTTTTTAGCATTCTGGATTGTTTGGATCAATAAGTCCAAGGTTTATTATTTTGGGTTTGTATCTGATGAAATGTACTGTTTATTACCATAGGACTCAGTTTTTAAAAGGATAGTGACTTTTTTCATTTCTAACAATACTTGAGGGAATGTGTTAGGGATGTTGGCAGCAGGCCAGTACAGATTCTGTAATTTCCAAAGGAAAAAATATTCAGAATAGAAACTATAAAGCCTAGTTTATTATAAAAATAAACTTGTATTAGCAAATAGCTGCATCACTTAATGTTGTAGGGCTGTAGGTACGCTCTGCACCTGGATTGCATTCTTACTTCTTCAGGGTTTACATGCATGAAAAAACATGCAGAATCATTAATAACATGAAAACATAAGAGGATTCTTTCTGTCCTTAGATATATATTCATGACCTGATATGTCAATTTTACAAAAGAGTTATAACGATAGTGAAGCAGTAAGTGTTGAAATACTGGAAACTGTGTTTCATTTGACTCTTGCCATGTACGGGATTTGAATGAGTGAAGTATACTTGTTTCTCACTGCTGTAGTGTTTTACTTCGGTCATATTTCTGAGTGAACATGTTTTTTAAGGACAAGGCAGAAATTAGATGAAGTCTTAGAATACAGAATACTGTTTGGTCTGTTTTGACGACAGCTTGACAATGTTGCTGACTCTAGAATAAAATGCATTGTGTAATTATTAGTTAAAATTCATAAGATGTTTATTTTTAATGGGAAACGGTTGACTTCTTTTAAAAGATAGATGTTATATTTTTCAAGCAGTGGAATAATGCACGTTTCTAAATCGCTACTTAAAGCATCTACAGAAATATGTGTCAATGAATCAGTTTCACCCTTAAGAATTTGTGTCAGCTCTAAGTTATGGTAAATATGGACACTTTCACTGTAGCTTGTTGTCCTGCAAGAGAATGCTTGTATGACTCATAAAAATACTTTAAAATTGCCTGCCTGGAAACTCCAGTTCAGAGGAGATTCCAGTATGAAAGACACATGGAAATGTAGATTGGAATGGGATTGCAGAATCAGATGGTGCAGGGAAGTCTGAAAAGTGTTGTATCAGGTGGTGAGCTGTTGCTTTCTAGTTTTGCTTCATCCAGGAGAAAGAGAGGAGAACAACTATGCAAAGTTAATGAACAAATTATCTGTATATAGAACTGCTCAGACACAAATGCATGCCACAGGCTTATTTGTAGACAGTAGTTTTCATTGCATTGTGTGTTTGTGCATTCGTGTTGCATGAGTGCATGGTGTTTTCGGTTAAGAATCTAGCCATAGCTTTCCTTGTATTGTCATGGTCATGATGTGTGTGTGTCCGTGTTGTTTAGAAAAATACTTCTGCATTCTTTTGCTGTGTAATGAATAATATTTCAGGGAATAAAAACTCACTAGAATATTTTGTGCGTTTATTTACTGCCATCTATAAATGCTCTTCATCAGCAGCCATTACTTTTGTGTTCATGGTAATTGAGGCAGCGACAGTCATATGCAGAGGCTGAGTAAAATCTATCATCTTTTTTCACTAATTTCCTAGAAATGAAACTTCTGCCCCTCACCATGGATTTGTAAATTGTCATTAGAAAAAGCTAATTTTTCAAGCTGTACAGTTATTTAATTTCTTTTTTTTGGGGGGGGGGAAGGAGGGCATGATTTTATAGTAATTACAAGAACTTGTCTGGAATTACTGTTGTGTGACTTTAACACCCACCCACCAAGATGAAGGGGTAAAGGAAGCTTTAAAAGTGCTGAAATGTTGTAAAGATTTTACTCATTTTTTTGTCTGATGATCTAGCTAGGTCAGAATGCAATTGGTGGTAGAGGAGTTGCTTCCTCTTTCTCCAGAATACATCAGTTACAGCTGCAGGTTAATTAGAGTAAAAGTTTTTCTTCCAAGGCTGCAGTAGAAGCAGAATAAACAACAATTGTCATATTGAAGTCTGTTTCTTTTTTCACATGCCTCAAGATGAGATATTGTGAGTGAGTTCTTCCTTTCCTTCCCTGTTTTTAGCAGTAAGGAATGCTGCTTACCTGGAAAAGGAGGAAGACCTGAATGCTGTGTGTGTATTTATGCAGAGGAATCCACATGATACACAGGGAGACAATATTCTCTTCAACATGTGACTCAATTTGTGTCTTGCATGGGTGTTGTACTTTCAGCCTCAAACTTGCTGCATGCTAGCTGCCCATTTTAAAGTGGTAAGAATGGTGGCAGGTTTCTCTGCAGAGTATAAGATGTGAAGATCTGCTGCTGTCTAATCTTTCCTATAAATGTAATCCCTCCTTCATATATATAAATTCTCATGTTTCCTTTTCCTACCCCTTTCTTTTCTTATACATTTTGAATGGTTAAATATAGCACATTTGTACAGCTCGAGTGGAGAAAGACTTGTCATAAGAAGCACAAGTCAGTCTTCAGTATCTGCCTGACTCATTCAAATGCTGTGATATGATTTTGTTAAAAAACTGAAAATATGTAGTGCCTGACCTGCACCAAGTCCTGCAAGCACTGCAGGTGGGGAGAGGGAACACCTTGAAGTATTGCACTTAGAATCTCCTTAGTGTTTAATATTTGAGTGCAGCTTACTTCAGAATGTCTTGAAATGTGCTTCAGGAAGGAGCAGCAGTTATTCCACAGTGATTGTTACATGGTGCATCAGGAAGACCTTTAGAAGACTTGGCAAAAGTGCAGAAATATGGTTATTTTTTCTTTAGAAACTTTTGCTGCTAGTACTTTATTAACTAGAATGACGTTTAAGTTCAGCATGAAGGTGTAACAAAGGATTTTATTTAATAAATAAGCATGCCCTGGATCTCTAGTGCACCTTGGACATTCACTTCTGAGAGTTCACGTGTGTTTTTAGTAGAGGTATGCGGGTATCAGGGTGTGTGGATGAGGTGTCTTCTGGTCACTTCACACAGTGACCTTTCTCTTATGTTGGACATTTAAAGTCACAGTATTTTTTCTTAAATAATTGTAAGGCTGTTG